AGAACCACCACTTTATTCATATGTTGGATAGTAATAGAAGGCTGTCCCAACTCAAGCAGTGAATCACAATTAGTTTAAGCTACTCAAAGAAGTTACATTACTCTATGCCACTGGTTTCAGGGCAGGCATGTGTCCTAGTTCTGGCCAAAGAGATACAAGAAAGTTTGATAGTGACATCTGGGAAAAGTTTTCCTCTTGGTAAAGACAAAGAAGAAATGCATTTTTCTTTACTTTTTCTGTGGCCTTATGGGGGAGTGATGCGTAGAGCTGTGGCAGCCATTTTATGACCAGAAGGAGACAAACTTGAGGTCAAAAGCATATACGATGAGAAAATGAAACAACCACAGAACCTGTGTCCTCCATCACATTGTAAAAGATAGTAGGGTTATCACTGATCACTCTCTTTTTTTCTGAAAGTTCTCCTTTTTCTTGTTAGAAGCCACATTCTCCTTTATCACCATTACCTTGTTCTTAAAAGTTACTTCTTTGGCTGGGCACGGTGGCTCACGCCTGTAATCCCAGCACTCTAAGAGGCCGAGGCCAGCGGATCACTAGGTCACGGGTTCGAGACTAGTCTGGCCAACATAGTGAAACCCTGTCATTACTAAAAATACAAAAAATTAGCAGGGTGTGGTGGTGTGCACATGTAACCCCAGCTACGCAGGAGGCTGAGGCAGGAGAATCGCGTGAACCCAAGAGGCAGATGTTGCAGTGAGCCAAGATCGTGCCATTTCACTCCAGCCCGGGTGACATACAGTGCTAGACCCTGTCTCAAAAAAAAAAAAAAAAAAAAAAAAGGTACTTCTTTTTTCTTTTAGCTCTCTGATTTTCTTTTTCATCACTAATGATTTTCAATGAGGGAGATATGTAATTTTAAAAGGTATATTTATATAGTCTAGTTTATCTTTAGTTGGTATAAATCGTTTGCCTTTTAAAAAGCATATTTACTATTATTTTATCCTTCAGAATCTTTTTAAAAACAGCTTTGGGATGTAATTCACATACAATTCACTCACTTAAACTGTACAATTAAGTCATTTTAATATATCCACAGAGCCATGAAACCATAACCACAACCAATTTTAGAAAATGTGCATTATCCCAAGAAGAAATCCCACATCCACTTGCATTCGCTCTTCATTTCCCCTGCCCTCCAGCCCTAGGAAGCTAAAAATCTTTCTTTCTCTGTAGATTTGCATATCCTGAACATTCCATATACACGGAATCATATCATATGTGGTCGTTTGTGAGTGGTTTCTTTCACTTGCTATGTTTTTAAGGTTCAACTGTGTTGTAGCACATTATCAATAACTCTTTGGCTTTATAATGCAAACTACTGAAAAGCAAACATGTGACATGAGACTCAAATATCAAGAAGAAGAGGTTTCAAAATATTTATTGAGCATCTCCTATTTGCCACTGTTAGCTAGTAACCACACATGGGTCATTCTCTAATTGCTATCTTCATTCCTGAATGATCCATTAGGCACCAGAATTACATTTCCAGCTGCCATATTGACTTGGGTATCCAGGAGCTGACGCCTTGAACTCAGTTCTCCCTCTTTCAAGGACTTCTTTATTTTTGCTAGACAGAATTCCCCCAGGCTCAGAAGCTCAATCTATAATTCCCTTTTCACTTTCATATCCAATTAGTTGCCAAATCTTATAAATTCTATTTCTCAAATATTTCCTCTGTTTTGGTGTGTCAAAAATGTTATGGGTGGAATTGTATTTCTCCACAAAAAGATACATTGAAGCCTTAACCTAACAGTACCTCAGAATATGACCTTATTTGGAAATATAATAATTGCAGATATAATTAGTTAAGATGAGGTCATACTGAAATAGGGTGTGTCCCTCATTCAGTAAGGCTGGTGACCTTATAAAAAGAACACTATGTGAAGAAACAGAGACACAGGAAAATGCCATGTCACGATGGAGGCAGAGATCCAAATGATGCATCTGTAAGCCAAGAAATGCCAAAGATTGCTGGCCATCACCAGAAGCTAGGAGAGAGGCATGGAAAAATTCTCCTTCACAGCCCCCAGAAAGAACAAAGCCTGTGGACACGTTGATTTTCAGCCCATAGAACTAGGGTAAGGTGACACATTTTTGTTGCTTAAAGTAGCTAGTGTGTGGTACTTAATCGCTACAGCCCTAGGTAACTAATACAGACACTAAATGACTTCATCATAGTTTAGGCATTCATTATATCATGCATCCCAAATCTTTATTTCATCATTTTCTCTGCTACGCCAGACCAAGCCATCATCATTTCTTACCTAGGCAATGTTAATCACATCCTAATTGTCTTCCTTGTCTCCCACAAGAAGGGCACCCCTATTGCCATCCTTGTATCCTTATAATTCATTTGCCACACAGAATATTTTAATAATGAAACCATATCACATCAGTGTTCTGCTGAAAACTCTCCAATAGCATCCCTTAAATGGACATTAAAGGGGCTGTATGATCAAACACCTGCCTAGCTCTCGCACCACAATTCCTGCTACTCCTCATTACACACCAGGTATGCTAGACTGTTCTTTTTTTTTTAAAGACCAACTCAATTCCTCCATTGCACAAACTCTGCCATTCTGGAACGCTCTTCCTCTCATGGCTCATTTCTTCTTGTCATCACAGTTCAGCTTAAATGTCAGTTCTGAACGGCCTTTCTTGACTACCAAAACCAACACAGCTTTAATTCTCGACAATGCACTTACCACTATCTGACACTGTTTTGTATTATTTTATGTATTTCACCGGTAATTGTGTCTCCTCTCCCTCCTACTCCCAACAGAGTATGACAACTGGGACTTGTCTTATCATTTATCTAGAGTATGTGGGAAAATGGTCAGCACATGGGACTTCAATAGATATGTGCTCAATGGTGAACCAGCCAGGTAGGCAGATATGTAGACTAGGATCCTGCTCGTGGAAGGCCTAGGTTCTAAAGGGAAAGGTCAATAAATCAGAGAAAAACAAACACCTAGATTCTGTTAACTGTTGCACAGAAGAGATTGAAGTTATGTAGAAGACACTGAGGGGTCTATAATCAGAAGTTTCTCAGGTATGAGCTGACATTTATGCTGAGGCTGGAATGAAGGCTGGGAAAAAATTAAGCAAGTAGAGCTCAGCTCCCTGAGAATTTCCAACAGAACAGCAAGCAAATAATCGTAGAGGCTATTACACAACAAATTCACTGAGTTCCGGGAAAGTCAGTGTGACTAGAGCATAGTAAAACTGGAAAATGATAGAAAAGTGGCTGGGAAGGTAGTCAGGGTCCAGATTATACAAGCCTTGTTAGAGAATGGTTAGCTGTTTCTGTTTTCCCCTAAGTGAAATAGTATGCCATGTAACTTGCTAAATGACATCATCCGATTTACTCAGTGTAGAGCCTAACCAAACTGTGCCCCCGGTCACCAGCATCAGAATCACTTCTGAGCTTGTTAAAAATGCAATCTGAAGCACCACTCCAGAACCGAATTAAGATCCCTAGGTGATTTGTATGCACATTAAAGTGCGAGCAGCACTGGTACAGAGAACGGAGTAGAGGTGAGAAACAGCAGAAGAAGGGAAGTCAATTACAGAGCTACGTTATGGTCCAAGTGAAGGATGACAGTGGCCTGCATGAGGGACAGCAGAAAGGATGAGAAGACGGATTGTAGGTTATGTTTCGCAGACAGTTGGTTTCGGTCTCCTAGCCAGCTAAATGGAGATCTCAGAGATAGGCAGTGATACAAGCCTGGGTTTCTGCAAAAAGTTTAGGCTTGGAGATATAGATCTGTGGGTCTGTTATTAACAGTTGTCCTGCTTCGTTTTTTTTTTTAATTTTCTTCCTTTAGTGCTTTACATTTTACAAATATCTGCATGCTTTTTGTCATGTTTATGGAAAAGAAGGCACACCTTAAAGTCGCTCAAGCCCTTCACTTTTTCACATTGAGGTCTGTCTACATATCCACTTATCTTTCGTCTATTAAACCCCTTATAAAAACTTTCCTTTGAAATATTTTAAAATTCAAGGCCCAAAGCTGATTAATACTGTTTCTCCTCCATATCCCCTGGAATCCTCCAGTCCTAGGTTTTAAAGAGAAAAATGTCCTCCATCCTCTCCAGTTTCTAGGTGTAAAGCAGCTTGGACCGTCCTGGGTTGGTGGGTCCACCTCTCTTGGTGTCCAATTCTGTATTCTTAAAAACCAACTATTGACATAGAAGCCAGTCAGTTAATGGCAGTAAAAGAAGGGAATTCCAAGTGGGAGCTTCCCAAGCCAGGAGGAAGAGCGGTTTCTTGCCTTATCACTGTAAGTGGCAGAATGGAGTTCCAATTCAATGATATCATTTGTGTTATCAAAGATAGTTTAATCGCTGAAAACCTTGTAACAATTACCAACACAGGCAAATGCCTTTTCCTTTTTGGCCTTACGGAGAATGAGAAAAGTTCTTCCCATGGTTATAATTCTTAGCTGTTGGTAATGCAGAAAATAGTACCAGAACAGCAGAATTACAATGGCATTCCAGCATTCTGTGTCTTAATTCTAAATTCACGTGACCTGGCAAGCTTAGGACAGCCCTGGTTGTAAGTGGTATTCACATTTTCAGCAGTAGTACTCTAGCTACACTTGACTGTTCACCTCTCTGTGAATTTGTATGTTTGAAATACTGCCCCCCAAAAGTCTCACAACTTTGAGAAATAAGGTCGCTTCCAAAAAAAAACCCAGTATGTCCAATTTGAAGGGGGCGCTGTCAGTGGGTGTTTAAGTGGGTGCTTACAAGCGGAATCTATTCCGGAGCCAAGAACAGGTCGGGGTGAGGAAGGCCAAGGCTGAGCGAAGTCAGCTCGGGACCCACCTCCTAGAAGGACCTCCGCCGGCAGGAAAAACCGTTACGGGGAGGAAAGGGCAGGTCCCTGCGGCCTCCAGGTGCCAGCAGCGTGAGTGGGCGGAGAGGCCTCGGTGCCTCCTACCCGCTCGGGACGTGCGTCCAGGCATCACCCCGGGATCCGCTCCTCCCCGCTGGCGGGGGGAGAAAGGGCAGGCGGCCTTCCGCCCCGGCTATAAAGGGCCTTGGACGGCCGCGGCTCGCCTCGGTTCGCCGCGACACGCCTAGGCGCCCTCCGGCTCCGCCCCAGCCCCAGCCGCCACGTCCCAGCTCGAGCTCCAGTGCCCGCTCAGGCCCCACTCGACCCTCTCGGGCCTCGGCTACTTGGACTGCGGTGGAAAATGGCGGCTCCGGTGACTCCCGCGGCTCGGGCCGAGGACTCCGAGGCGGCGCTCAATGCCGCCCTGGCTGACGTGCCCGAACTGGCCAGACTCCTGGAGGTCGACCCGTACTTGAAGCCCTACGCCGTGGACTTCCAGCGCAGGTACCGCCGGACTCCCACCACCCCCAGTCAGACGGGCAGCCCGCCTCCCAGGAGCCGGTTCGGGACGCGGGCAGCCCCTCGGCCCTGGAGCGCCAACCCCGCCCCAGGCGGGGAGGAACCTGAATGGGCGGGGCTCGGGGTGACGCGGTAACCGGGTTCTGTGGCTTCCGCAGTGGCAGGTTGACAGCTCCGGTCCCCGGAGCGGGCGTTTGGGAAACTTCCTTCCTCATCCCCTTTCCCTTCTGTTCTAATCAGCGGTCTTGCGCCATAGGGTACGTGCTGTGGCTCCAACACTGAATTCCCCTAGTGCTGCTGGGGAGTGACTCAACGCCCCTGCAGGTTTTCTGACTTTGGCACGCACTAGCGTGGGCCCGTGGAGTCACGTGGGCATAACTCCTGGCACGTGTAATTACGCATTTAAAACTTTCTAGTTTATTTCATAGCAAATATTGTGATTTTATATCTAACAGGATTCCTTCAGGCAGACACTATATCCTTGCACTAGTTCTTTCCTTGCGAATATTCCTCATTTAGGGGAAGATTACACCTACATTGATCAATTTTTTCTCCCCTTGGACTAACATTGATAACTTCAATGTACATCAACATTTGTTCCTGTTTGACTTTGCCATCTTGAAGAGGGAGAAAGGTCAGGAAAGTAAAACTTTTACAGGCCAATGTCGTTTTAGCTTGTCTTCTACCATTGTGTACCATACCAGTTTAGTTACTGGGCTAATGATTCTGTTAATAAGTTCCACTAAAAAGGTACAGGTCTTTGTTGTTGTTGTTGTTGTTTTAAGTAAAAGAGCTATTTTACAAGTTGTAATAGTTATACTTGTGAGGTTACCCCATTTTGATTTAATAGTTTCTCCCCTTTTAGGAGAGACACTGCAGAATGGAAACTATCCTGGCAATAGAATATACATGGCCAATTTTTCAAGTGATGGAAAACATCCATCTAGTTAACTGGCATGAAGGACCGTTGAGAGTAATGAAAATGGGTTGATTTGGAGTTTGAAAAAAGCCCAGCAATTTGTTTGTGTCCTAGCATTTTCAGGTATTAAATGCATTCAAATCAGCAAGTGTTTATTGAGGAAGTGCTATAGATAAAACACTGCCCTAGGGATTGTAAGGGATATGAAGTTGCATTCTTGAGCTTGTATATGGTAATGAATGAACCCTTTGTGAAATAATCACCTTGAGCTGTCCCTCACTTAATCAGATGATTGTGCTGTTATATAAACCATTTAGGGAGCAGTCTTATGAAATTGTTTTCAGAATTTACAGTATATACTTTCAAAGAAACTTAGTACATAATTGTCGTAGGTGTAAGGTTGGATTTGATTTAGAAATAGAAAAACTTTAGAGAAAAAGATAGCGATTAAAGGTAGTGGTTAGATATATATATATATTTTTGATGTCCTTGTAACCATGATGTTAATTTACTTGTGTGCTTTGTAAAATGACACTTAAGATATTTATTAAAGAAGAGTTGTGGAAATGTTTTATCTACACCTCCCTCCTTTTTAAAATGACACACACAGATAAACATTCTTTATTAAGTTTCTTTCATGTACTTTATTTCCAACTCCACTGGGATTGAAGCATTTATAATCTTCTTTCATGGTTTGCCAAAACTAATGAAGGGGACAAAGGCCAAGATAAAGAAGGGAAGAGAATCCAGTGTGCTTGGTGAAAAGTCTCGTCCAGTGGGCCCTCATGCCTCACTCTGATCTGGATTTTACTTTTGTCCTTGGTTCTGAGTAATGGCCATTTGCTAGCACACATGTTCCATTTAAGCATATCAAATAGTAATTTGGCATTACTATTTGGTAACTTCTATTTACTATTTGGTATCTAGTTACTATTTGGTAACTTCTATTGTTAACACTCGAAGAATAAAACATTTTTCCTTCATACAGTCTGGTTTTAGTTCCTTGTCCAGTTTTCCATTTATTTCTGATAATCCATTTGGACTGTGTGTCTTTGGCCTAACACAGATACATAACCAGTCAAACACTTAGGTGCAAAGTATGCTTACTAAGGAGTGAAGAAAATTTGAGGTACCAACAACAATATTGATGAAGAAGGAAATTTCTCTTTGATGGACTGTCTCATCCTTCCCCAGCAGACATCTTTTCATTTGAATTTTTTTGGATGTTCCCTTAGGATGTTTCAGATGTTCCTTCCCTTGTTTATCTTGGCCTTCTCCCCTTCTGTATTCGTCTGTTTTCACGCTCCTGATAAAAACATACCTGAGACTGCGCAATTTACAGAAGTAAGAGGTTTATAGGACTTACACTTCCAAGTGGCTGAGGATGCCTCACAATGGCAGAAGGTGAAAGTCGTGTCTCACACGGTGGCAGACAAGAGAAGAGAGCTTGTGCAGGGAAACTCCCTTTTTTAAAACCATCAGGTCTAGTGAGACTTACTCATTATCACGAGACAGCATGGGAAAGACCTGCCCCCATGATTCAGTTACCTCCCATCAGGTCCCTCCCACAACACGTGGGAATTCAAGATGAGATCTGAGTGGGGACACAGCCAAACCATATCACCTTCATTAGTTGTTCTATCACTTCTGTACCTGTGAGAATTTTGAATCAAGTATAGAGGATTAATGAGTTACTCTGCTATAAAATAAAAATTAGTACATTATTAGCATGACTGACTGACTACCTCCATGTTGTCTCATTGATGACCTCCCAAAATAGCATTTTCCACTTGATTTTTCTACCTTTTATTTAGTTGTTTACTTCTTGTTACACTACAATTAGTTGTTATAATTCCAAAATTTTAGTGCTTTAAAACATTTAATTGTCCCCATATTACATGTCAGCATGAGTCAGCCAGAGGACTGTCCTCATGGCAGTCACTCAAAAGTCTAGGCTTATGAAGGATTTGTTTTGAAACCTACTTCTGTAGAAGTAGTGGCAGGGCAAAGAGAAGCATGTTGAACTATGCACTATTTCTTACAGCTTTTGCCTAGCAGTGAGTCCATCCTGCTGATAATGTTACACTGGCCAGTGCACGTCAGCTTGCCATGTGGGTGAAACAGAGGATTGGCATTTGTGAACACTGTCAGAACAACACAATGTTAATGATACTACTTTGTACCCTCTGTTTAATGTTTTTACAGCGCTTTCAGTTATGGTATTTAATGTAATCCTCATAACAAAACCATGAGGTAGACAGGGTGGGCATTTTTCCTGTTTTACAGGTGCAGAAACTGAGTGATGGGCTTAAGCATACATGGCATAAGTAAGTGCTGCACCTGTGATTAATCTTTCTTTGCTAAAACTGTTCTCAACCAGTTCACAGATAACTTCATGATAATGTAGGGATACCTCTTTACTCTTCTTTGTCTCTAGCATTGTACATGTTGGACTATTTCTTGGCTCTTTGAAGCCATGATCTTGCTTTTCTTTCATTTTCTCAGCCTCTTTTTGACCATTTAATGTAAGAGATTTTTAGGTCACTTTCCTGGGATCCTTTATGTATTTCTGTTGTATATTTCCTCCCTAGGCGTTCTCATCCATCCCATGGATTCCATCTATCTACTGAGGCTACCCACATCTGTCTCCACTCTAGATCTTTCTCCTTATCTTGGACTTATTTATATCTTCATTTCGATGTTTTATAAATACAAACCTCAACAAGTATAAAACTGAACTTAACAGATTTTCATTCCAAACAGGTTTGTCCCCGTCAACCGAATCACGGTGTTCGGAATCTTCCTCTACCAAGATTCCGAACCTAAAACGTAACGAGTGATTTCTCATTTACTCCCCTCTCCTCCTTTCCTTATACCTCTGAGTCTACTCCATTGTAGCCCCTAACTCTTTTAAGTATGTACCATGCCGCCTTCCTACTGCTGCTATCCTAGTTCAGGTTGCCAGCATCTCTAGTATGGTTTACAGAAACTGCTTCATAGCGGTTGTTCTTTTTCCAGATCTGCACTCCATTCTAATTTCTCCACTCCTCTTCATTCAAAAACAGACTAAGTAGAATGGATTTTGAAATAAACAAATCTGATCATGGTACTCCTCTGCTTAATTAAACCCTTTCAACCATTCCTCATTTCTCTTGAGTTCTGTACAGCCTCCTTCCCATAACTTACAAGATTCTGCATTATCTGGTCCCTGCTGACCTTTTCAGCCGCCCTCTCGGTACCATCTAACCAGAGGGCCGTAAAGGGAGAGGGGCAGCTCGGATCTCTGGGGACCATTCTATAAAGGTACTAGAATACCAGTAAAAAAAATTAGAAACATGGTATCCATTTTCCACATGCATTCCTTTTTTCTTGAATATTGAAGATTTTCATTTCATATTTTGTCCACACACAAGAAATTGGAGTGTCTGGAAAAAATCACTGAATAAAAGATAAGAAAGATGAAGAATTAGAAAGCTTTTCTGATCTTTATCAGAAGAGTGATAGTTTTAGCTTAGTAGGAGTGGGTTAAATAAGTGAATCCTTTCCTGTATTTAATATTTTCTTAATATAAAATAATTTCTCTACCCCATGAAAGAGAAACATTTAACAAATGTTTGAGTATCAGCTGGAAAGTGTGATGACATATTATGCTGTCTTAGATGCCACATATTTTGGTTTAACTCTCAGTGAAGCTGTGCTTTTGTACATGCTATTGCTTCTGCCTAAGCATTCTTTGTTTCTACCTTAGGATAGTTCCTGTACATGTTTTGGGACACAGCTTAGAGATATATTGTATGCCTTCTCTGACTTCGCCCTATCTTGAAGCTTCTTCCGGGCTGGTTGAGGGGTCCCTCTTCTTTTCTGCCACCTTGGACCACTATCCTATGGATGCTCATCCACTCCGTAATATAGTTGTCTTTCTACTCTTTGTATCCCCCACTAGATTGTTTGCTCTCATGAATGGGTACTATGTCTATATTATTTATTCACCGTTGTAGTCCTCAGTCTGTAGAACTGGACCTGCCTTACGGTAAATACTTAGTATAATATTTGAATGAGCCAGTGG